CCTCTCAATACCAGGAAAAGTCTTCAACCGAGTATTGTTAAACAGGATGAAGGATTCCGTAGATGCCCAACTTCGAGATCAACAAGCTGGATTTTGTAAGGATAGATCGTGCACAGATCAAATCGCAACTCTGCGGATCATTGTGGAACAATCAATCGAATGGAACTCATCACTCTACATCAACTTTATCGACTACGAGAAGGCATTTGATAGCGTGGACAAGACGACACTATGGAAGCTTCTTCGACACTACGGCGTGCCTGAGAAGATAGTAAATATCATACGGAACTCCTATGATGGACTAAGCTGCCAAATTGTCCACGGAGGACAACTCACCGACTCGTTTCAAGTGAAGACCGGTGTTAGGCAAGGTTGCTTACTCTCACCGTTTCTCTTTCTCCTGGTCATCGACTGGATCATGAAGACGTCAACATCTGGAGGAAATCACGGGATACAGTGGACAGGCAGGATGCAGCTTGACGATTTAGACTTCGCGGATGATCTGGCTCTTCTATCACAAACGCAACAACAAATGCAGGAGAAAACGACCAGTGTAGCAGCAGCCTCAGCAGCAGTAGGTCTCAATATAAACAAAGAGAAAAGCAAGACTCTCCGATACAATACAATATGCACCAATCAAATTACACTTGACGGAGAAGCTTTGGAGGATGTGGAAACCTTTACATATCTGGGCAGCATCATTGATGAACACGGTGGATCAGATGCAGATGTGAGGGCGCGGATCGGCAAAGCAAGAGCAGCATACTTACAACTTAAAAACATCTGGAGCTCAAAACAACTGTCAACCAACACCAAGGTTAGAATTTTCAATACAAATGTGAAGACAGTTCTACTGTATGGGGCAGAGACGTGGAGAAATACGAAAGCCATTATCCAGAAGATACAAGTGTTTATTAACAGCTGTCTACGCTAGATACTTCGGATCCGATGGCCAGACACTATCAGCAACAAGTTACTGTGGGAGACAACAAACCAGATTCCAGCGGAGGAAGAAATCAGGAGAAAGCGCTGGAAGTGGATTGGGCACACCTTGAGGAAATCAGCTAATTGCGTCACAAGAAAAGCCCTCACATGGAATCCTGAAGGTCAACGGAAAAAAGGAAGACCAAAGAACACATTACGCCGAGAAATAGAGACAGACATGAGAAGAATGAACAAGAACTGGATAGAACTAGAAAAGGAAGCCCAGGACAGAGTGGGTTGGGGAAAGCTGGTCGTCGGCCTATGCTCCATTGGGAGTAACAGGCGTAAGTAGGTAAGTAAGTAAGTAAGTAAGTAAGTAAGTAAGCATGGTTTTTATGTTTTACCAATTAACGTTGTAATTTATGCTAAATATATAGTTGGTTGTCCTCACCTGTGTTCTCATTCACTACACTAGAACAACACATCTATCCAACGATCTCTGATTCACATGGTATCTCAAATGAAATTAGTCTTTCATGAATACTACCCAGAATTATTCAATGTGGTTATTTTTTTGTTAATTTCATCCTCTAATATTTATTACTTACTTACTTACTTACGCCTGTTACCCCTCGTCGAGGAGCATAGGCCGCTCACCAGCATTCTCCATCCAACTCTGTCCTGAGCCTTCCTTTCCAGTTCTTTCCAGTTGCTATTCATCCTTTCCATATCGGCTTCTATTTCCCGGCGTAGTGTGTTCTTTGGCCTTCCTCTTTTCCGCTTCCCTTCAGCATTCCAAGTTAGGGATTCAGTCGTGATGCACATTGGTGATTTCCTTAATGTATGTCCGATCCACTTCCAACGTCTTTTCCTTATTTCCTCTTCAGCTGGAAGCTGGTTTGTCCTCTCCCATAAAACGCCGTTGCTGATAGTATCCGGCCAGTGGATGTTGAGTATTTTGCGTAGACAACTATTTATAAATACTTGTACCTTCCTGATGATGGCCGTAGTAGTTCTCCACGTTTCAGCTCCATACAGTAGGACTGTCTTGACGTTCGTATTAAAGATTCTGACCTTGAAATTGGTTGAGAGTTGTTTTGAGTTCCATATGTTCTGCAATTGTAGAAATGCTGACCTTGCTTCGCCAATCCTTGCCTTTACATCTGCATCCGATCCTCCTTGTTTATCAACGATGCTCCCCAGGTACTTGAATGTTTCCACCTCTTCCAGAGTTTCGCCATCAAGTGTGATTGGGTTGGTGTTCTCCGTGTTGCATTTGAGAATCTTGCTTTTTCCTTTGTGAATGTGGAGGCCTATCGATGCATAGGCTGCCTCTACATTTGCTGTCTTCATCTGCATTTGGTCGTGTGTATGAGAGAGGAGGGCTAGGTCATCTGCGAAGTCCAAATCATCTAATTGATTCTGAGAAGTCCATTGTATTCCGTATTTCCCTTCAGATGTCGAATTCTTCATAATCCAGTCAATCACTAGAAGGAAGAGGAATGGGGAGAGTAGACAGCCTTGTCTGACTCCGGTCCTTACTGGAAATGCATCTGTCAGCTGTCCTCCATGCACCACTTTGCACTGTAATCCATCGTATGAGTTTTGGATAATGTTGACGATCGTCTGAGGAACTCCATAGTGTCGAAGAAGTTTCCACAATGTTCTCCTATCCACGCTGTCAAACGCCTTCTCATAGTCGATGAAGTTGACGTATAGTGATGAGTTCCACTCGACTGATTGTTCAACGATGATCCGTAGTGTCGCAATCTGGTCTGTGCACAACCGATCCTTACGGAATCCAGCCTGATGATCCCTAAGTTCGCCGTCTACTGCGTCTTTCATCCGATTCAGCAGCACTCTGTTGAAAACGTTTCCTAGTACTGATAACAAACTGATACCTCTGTAGTTCTCACATTGGCTCACATCTCCTTTCTTTGGTATCTTGATGAGATATCCTTCTTTCCAGTCCGTTGGCACTTGTTCCTCTTCCCAAATCTTTTTGAATAGGAGGTGAAGCATGTTTGCAGTTATTTCAATGTCTGACTTCAGTGCTTCTGCTGGTATATTGTCAGGTCCTGCCGCCTTCCCACTTTTGATTTGTCTGATGGCCATCTTGACTTCTTCGATCGTTGGTGGAGTGACATCTATTGGAAGGTCTGTGTGGGCTGCTTCGATGTTCGGTGGATTCGATGGGGCTGGTCTATTCAGCAGTTCCTCAAAGTATTCTGCCCATCTTTTCCTCTGTTCCTGAATCTCAGTGATTGTCTTTCCTTCTTTGTCTTTGACTGGTCTCTCTGGTTTGCTATATCTCCCTGCCAATTTCTTCGTTGTATCATATAGTTGTTTCATATTCCCTTCTCTTGCAGCTTTTTCCGCCGCCGTTGCTAGTTCTCCCATGTATTTCTGCTTGTCGGCTTTAATGCTTTTCTTCACTTCCCTGTTTGCTTCTGCGTAGTCTGCTTGTGCTTTGACTTTCTCTGCTCGTGTTCGGCTGTTGTTAATTGCTAGTTTCTTGTCCTTCCTTGCTTGAAGTTTGTCCAGGGTTCCCATAGAGATCCATTCCTTGTGATGATGCTTCTTAGGACCAAGAACCTGCTGACACGTTGAAGTTAGTGCTTCTTTTATCCCTTTCCAGTTGTCCTCCAAAGTAGTTTCTTGTTCTTTCAGTAGATCCTGTAGAGCTTGGAACCTGTTGTTGAGAGTTATCTTGAATTCTTGTAGCTTGTCAGCATCTCGAAGGAAGGCTGTATTAAACCTTTGTAGTGCTGTTTGTCCAGTTGTCCAGTCTTTCTTAAGCTTCAGTCTCATCTTGGCCACAACCAGGTGGTGATCTGACGCTATGTCAGCTCCTCTCCGGGTTCTCACATCTTCCATTGATCTTCGGAATTTTGTGTTGATACAGATGTGATCAATCTGGTTCTCTGTGGTGTGGTCCGGTGAGATCCATGTAGCTTTGTGTATGCGTTTGTGTGGGAATATTGTGCCGCCTATAACCAATTTGTTGAAAGCACATAGGTTTGCAAGTCTCTCCCCATTTTCATTTCTCTCTCCTAATCCATGTCGTCCAATTACATCTTCATATCCTGTGTTGTCCACTCCAACTTTAGCATTTAGATCTCCCATAAGGATGGTGAGGTCCTTTCGTGAGCACTTCTCCATAATTGATTGCAGCCTTTCATAGAACTGATCTTTATCATCGTCGTTGCTATCATTGTTGGGTGCATAACATTGGATAACGTTCATTGTGATCCCCTGATTCTTTGTTCTGAATGATGCTTTGATTATCCTGGGTCCATGAGATTCCCATCCCACAAGTGCATTTCGTGCTTCTCTGGACAGCATTAGAGCAACTCCCTGAGTGTGTGGAGCGTTTTCCCCTTCGTGACCGGAGTACAGCAGCATCTCTCCTGTACCTAGCCTTTGTTGTCCAGTTTGTGTCCAATGGGTTTCGCTGATTCCGAGTACTGCCAATTTGTATCTCCTCATTTCCATTTCTATTTGGCTGGTCTTTCCTGTTTCCCACATTGTCCGGACGTTCCATGTACCTATAAAGAGTGTTGCTCTGGTTGTTAGAAGGTGAATCGGCCTCGTGACTTCCGAAGAATTTCGGCTTTCATCATGAGACGTCATTATTCCTTCAACTCCCAGGGCAGAGTTTAAATGGTTTGGATTATTTTTTCTGGTTAGCGTTTTTTTAGCGAGTTAGCTTTCTACGGGATGGGGTCGCTAACCGCATGCCCAACCCTCCTCCTTTACCATGGCTTGGGACCGGCAGTAACTCTAGAAGAGCTACAGGCGGAGTTTCTAATATTTATAAGTAAAATAATTTCATCTTGATGTAGGTTTGATCTCTGAGCTGGATGGTTTGGTCATACAGCTTTCGTCGTCCTTCTGAATGACATCATCAGCACAAACGTCGAGTAGAAGTTAAGTGTTTGAATTTCTCCACATGTAATTCATAGCTTGTCCTGTGCATATTGATGTTGATTAGTTCTTATTGACCTTGAATCTGTCAATGTCTAGTTCTATTATTGGTTGTATCTCCTATTCATTTGATTTTTGTTCCTATTTTTATGCATAATTTTCTTCACTTCCATTCTACCCAAAGTTTTGATGATGATGATAATGATGATGATGATGAGGAGGAGGAGGAGGAAGAGAAGGTTATACCGTTACCACCGATGTCTATGATTTTAGGCACTAATCAATTGGATAATTATTGGCATAGAGTTTTACTTGGTATAATTGAAATTCAAGTTGATGCAGTAGTTGTAAATGAAAATGATTTTGGTAAGTGTAAATATTCGTAAACAAAAAAGAAACACTCACTATTTTAAGATATTCATTTTTTATAAAATTTCAATTCTTTTGCTCTTCATCCTTGTGATGCGTATCAGTTGCCCGTTTACTTATTATTGCAATAGTTTACTATGTACTGTATTCTGACTATGAAATATGCCATTTGAAGGTAGAGAACACCAATAGGTTGTAAAGTTTTGAATGTTGTATAGATGTCTTTGAGTAATCACTTTCGGAGTAGTGAAAACATGAGGTTGAAGTTAGGTTTACGGTAATGATCTTGAGTTGATTGATTGAGCTTGAGTTTATAACGAATAAGGGTCATACAGTACATAATATAAGTTTACTGAGTTTTACGAATTATCAGGACATAACAAAAACGACACCGATTCACTATATGAGATTAACGTGACAACAATTCAGATATTTTAATGTAGCCTTGTTAGTTTATTTTATGTTTTATTTCAACACATACATATTGGTACAAATATATATTCGCCATACGATTGTGTGAGGTCTATGATATTGTCCGGGTGCCCAAAATGAAGCAGGTGGTTTTTTTAGGAAGCCACACCCAGAGCCTTTGACCCGAAGATCAGATCAAGCAGACAGTGGGGCATGGTGAAGAAGTGCATTCCAATGGTAGCCGGTGATCAACAGTTAGTTCATACACTATTTGTTACCTCAGGATCCTGGAGCCCATGTGCACCATTGGTTTGGAATCAGGGATTCCTAACTCCCCTAGATAGACTTATAAGTTCCAAATTAGGTTTGGCTGAAGAATAACTGTGTGGTAAGAGAAGAGACGCGTGTCTGCCACAAAAAATAAGTATTATTCTATCCTTCCTGGATAGATCAAGTGTTTTCGATTCTGGGAATGTGTTTCAATTCACAACCAAAATGTACGATCCCGGTCAAATCTAGCAACAAAATGAAAGAGAGAACCATCAGTATGGCTGCCGCCAAGATACAATATCAACTAAAACAACATAGATACAGTTCAGGAAGAAACATATCAACTCACTGAGAGCGAAAGAGAAAATGCTAATGTTGTTATGAAATGAAACATTACAATCTCAAATGGCATCAAAAAGGTCAACAATAATGAACAACTAAGGAAACTATTAAGAACAAATTGTAAATGAATGGTGTTTTCACACACGAAACCTTCAAAATGGATCTCATGGGACTCAGTATGTCAACCGATAGGCTTGTCAGAAAATCATACATAACAAAAACTTTAAATATGTGTACTTAAATCCACACGACATATCTGTTCTCAAAAGAATATGATTATAAGTAAGAATGAATCGTACTTGAATATTACTGAGATTTAAGAAAAGTTTCAGTCTCGTTATTTTTACATTTTAGTGTATTAAGATGTGCTCACATGTTGTAGATAGATTCAGTATCCGGCGGTAGATTCAAAAACTATTAATGTTTAAGATCTCGAATGACAACATATTCCTCTCTCTCTTATTCATGATACTAAATGAAATTCAGATGATAAGTCTTGTTGAATGATGGACGTTCAGTCAGAAAATCTACTCCCTTCTCCATGAACTCTTTGACTGTGATTTCGCAATGAATCTTACCAGCAATGTTTAGAATTCCCCCAGATGCACTATGCGATGATTGATGAGTTGAATATACATTCTTGGTTTCCCAATTTTTCCCCACGTCCATCTGCTTATAAGTGTTATATCGGAGGTTGTAAGCGAGCATCATACCCATTAATCTTGAGGGAAACATACTTCCTATGATTATGGGAGCCGGTTCTGTTAACAGCTACCGTCACTTTGACTGTACGTGGCTTGAATCTTCTAGAATAAACTTTAAGTACAATCAAACGCTGATTACATAAAATGCTTTCTAATATTTCTTTGAGCTTGTCATGTCTATTGCAAGGAATTTGCAGGATCATCCCAATAGCAGGTATAAAAATATTTGATTATTTCTTGTTTCATTTCAGGTTCACGTTTATTGGTCCCTATAATATGTGCTACAATCTTATTGATTGCATTAATCTGTACCTTCATTATATGTTGTTATTCACAAAGAAAACGTCGTCAACTCCTTATGAAATATGCAACAACAACAATAGCGCCTAATAATGAACCATCATCAGATTTAATTCAAAATTTATGAGACAGTAAAAAAAATTCAATGAATGTAACTAATCTAATTAATATAACATCGATTCATCAAAATTACCCTTCATATCATCCACAATTCATATGTGAATCAACATTACAGTCGAAAAGATTTTTATCACCACAATTTCATCATAATCTAAATGGAAGGAGAGTATAAGCTCATTATGATAATGATAATATCACCAGTAATATTCCACAAGGAGTCTGTACAGTCAATAGAAATCAGGTAAATATGAATCAATACAGAGGACCAGTTATGATTTAAGTAGTATATATGAAATTAATAAAAAATATGATATTGACATTCTACAACTATTATTGAAAGAAAAGAAATTGATATACGAACTGTCATCTAAGTTAGATGGAATAGTTTCACACTATTACGGTGACGAATTGATGAAAGACATCAGATAAGAAGCAGAAGAATGTATTTGTAAAATCTTAACGACGACTGAATTTGAAGTAATTCCAAGGAACAAGCATTGATCAGATTGCTAGGGCGAAAAGTTGAAGTCACTTCAGATTCATTCGTTGAAATTTTACAAATGTATTCTTCTTTTTCATAGTTGAAAGCATTAATCAATTGAGGCTAGATCAGCGAGGAAAACCTTGGAAGCACCGAACGACCGTTTTGTATCATTGTGTGACTCCTCTGTAGTGCGAATCCAAGACATTGTCTGGCGAGATTCGAACCCACAATAGGACGAAACGGCCGTCCAGTGCTTCCAGGTTTTCCTTAGTGGTCTAGCTTCAATTGATTCATGCTTTTATCGTTGAAACACACACAGATATCTAAAACCGCAGGTAAGTTAAGCAAGAATGATAGAGAAGTGCTGAAAAGCAAGCAAGTGAGCGAGAAGATGATCGAGTCCATGAACGAGTGTGGAAATGAATGAAACATTGAATCAAATAAGCGACTAATATAAAGGCTAGCAGAATGAATATATGCGTAGACAGTAAGCAATGCTCAACCATACATATTCATACAAGTGCAACAATAGTAAAGGTACAATAGCATAGATATGTTGTTACTGTACGAGTGACTCTATCCGTTAAATAAGCGAACAAAAAGGGTTTAATCAATTTAAATATGAACAAACTCAATCGTACGTGAGCTGCTGCTACGGCATCAATGTACGTTGATTCCACTTGTTACAACCAACACAGTAAAAAGAGATGAAATGAATAAAACACATGATGTACTAGTAAAATGGTAGTCTATGATGGTGGAAAAAGATAAGGCAGAGAATATGATTGAATTCTGAACATAAGCAATATATAGTAGTGTGTATGTCCGGGTAAGTGGTCGATTTTGATTCATGTTACCCAAGATTTTCAGTCATCGTGGACTCCAACTGGATAGTTTAAAAAAACCAGTGAGTGGTATCATGAACTGATACCATGTCTTGGTTTGTGTACCCTTTGCGACTGCATCATATGGACGTAAAAGTACGAAGTAAATGAACTGAACATATTATTTGGTATCATCTTAGTTGCCCCGTTTCATTTTCAACTATATGTCCTACGGCTTAAATGTATCCGCCTGTATGTTTAAGTTAGACTTATGGTGTTACTATCTCATCACTCTGAGAATGACTGGTCAGACATACTTATACTGTAGTTAGTTAATCGATAATATGCCCTTATTTTGTCTGATGAGTACCTATGCCTAGTGACTGCCCATCCTACAAAAAGCAGCCGATTGAAAGTATATGTATCTGTTGATTGTTGTGAGCACTAATGAAAGTACCCATGCAGTGATAACAAATTTAAGACACTGGCCAACTAGTCGAAAACAACAATAAAGGAAAACTAATGTCATGAGACAGTGGACTCAAAATGACTTATGAACAAGTTGAAATAGGCAGTCAAGATTCTTAAGCGTTTAAAAACTAATAATATTTGAATCCTTTTCTACTGATGAGTACTACAGGTTGCATGTATTGTGTTAAATAAATTACTATTGACTTACTACCTGGTTCTTTATTGTCGGTCGGATAATGTATATGTGAATTACGTGATCCGATTTGGTGATCGTATAAGTGCCCATGATTTTTCTGTACGTTTTCGATTCTTATCTAATAACCGTTTCCCCTGCTTCTTCCGTCTTCTGATTTAACGGCCGTGGATTTCTGCACGTTCAAGTGCCGTAAGTTGTACGTCATATTCTGCCGAAATCAAGTAGAGGACATTGTAGTACCGTGCTTTGCTAATCTTTCACCTTGATAACCGTTAAAATACAAACGTTAACGGTGCATAAAATCAGAAGGCAAAGAGAAACATTATAAGCAAGTTAGCCCAGCATTCTACAGAAATCAGGGTGGCATGTTTAACATATGGCAGTTATCTTTTGCATTTTTAAAGATAGTTCGCAAAAAATTGCAGTAGCTAAAAGTTATAATTATTTTCAAAGCTGAAATATGGCTTAGGCCACATAAGCTAAGGCAAGTGATTTTCTGTGACGACACTAAGAGAGCTTTTAGCAAAACCTTTCCATCCAAAAACAATGAAGGAACCTCAGCAGACTCAGTCTTATGGCATCTGGTGACCAAAAAAGAATCATGCATTTGTTTCTTGAAAATTTTGAAACTCATATAGACCATTAATTTCAAACCAGTTCCTTACAAATCCTGTGGATGAACTCTCCGCAGTCACTAACGCAATTTAAGAGTGAAACAACTGAGTTCTTCTTATCTTTGCTTAGTAGTAATACATCCCTTGAGGATGCCATAAACGAGCAGCTAGATACGAACCATTTGATTGGAACAGTGGAGACTTTCCACCATCAATCGATTCACAGTTGTAGAGGACAAAGTCTAAGTATTTCGGAGCTGGGATACTTCAAAATCAAGAAACTTATTTAAGTTTCTTATCTTTACGTCAGACCTCAAGTGTGAACAGCAACGATAAACACCTGGCTAATCAAACATATGCGACATAATTGTCGAAAATCTGACGCTGTAACTGGTACGTCATTCAGGTATTTGAGGTTACTTAGGGGAGTTGGAAAACCTTAATTCCAAACCAATGGTGCACATAGGCTCCAGTATCCTGAAGGAACAAATGGCATATGAATCAATTGTTGGTCACCGGCTACTGTGGGACTGTATCTACTAACGATGCTGCACTGCCTTGTGGAGCAAGAAGACTATTTTTCAAGTTATTTATCTAAGATATGCTTCATGGTTATTGCCTTTGATCGGGCAAGAATATTTAAAATTACGAAAAAATTGATATCTCTTTGAAGCTCACAGAATTTTTGTTAATAGTTCATTCGTTTCACATCATTATTGACTTCACCATAGATCTACGGGAGTAATCATTTTTTTGGTTATATGATGAAGCAATAGTTTAAGTGATAACTCAGTTTTAATCATTGAGTTTCAATTGCGAATACTGTTTATTCCAGCGTTCACGTATTTGGTTGGTTGCCGTTCAATATATTAAAATGCCCGAATAAACCACATCTTGTTTTAGGTCTACACATAAAATGATATACAAGTATGGGTGAAGTTTTGTGAATGAGTAAGTGATCATTCTAACCAAGATCACCTCCCATATATCTCTGTCTGAGTCGGTTCTTACACCTGTATATATTCTTAAGTTGCAGCACTAATCGTTCGGTCTTTTGACTATAAAACCGTTCACTGAATTATTCGTTTGAATCCGACCGTAGAACTGTTACCTCCTTGATCTGTATAACAAATAATATACAGAAGAGAAATTGTCTTGATCTAGATTATGGTCTTGGCACAATAGGCTAACTAGTCCAATTTTGAGGCTGGAAATGCGTGATTTCGAAGTGAGACTAATAGCTTCAGGCTGAGAGACGAAAACTATTCTATCACCTGATTGGTTGGCAAGCGAGAGAGTAGACGTGTCAACTGGAACACCTCGATTTATCCCTGATTCAGGTTTATGTAAAAAGACATAGAAATAAATAGATGATCAACACGACCAACACTCACAAGCAATTAGAAACTAAACTTATGTCCGAATGGGGGGTTAGGGGGAAAATGGATTACGAAAGACTATAATAGCTATGAAATGGAAAAGGGTATGGTAGTAAATAATGCATCAAACTAAAGCATATGGTGTATAAAATAACCTAGGAACAAAACTGTATGTTAATGTTTTACAAACTTTGGATTAAGTGATGTTTTCGAAATTCGCTTCTGTTGTTCGTCATAACTTCTTTATTTATCAATTAACAGCAAAAACACAACACAGATTAGAATTTCGTTTCACCTTTTTTTAAATATTTGAAGTTCGAATAGTATCACCAGTCCCTATTTAAAGAAAAGTGATGTAATTCAGGTAACCTGTGCCAGGAAATAAGATTAAGATGTATATCAAATGTTTGTTGTTATTGCTACATAACTTTTCTCTCGTTCTCTATAATTAATTGGGTTTCTTTTTCAAGATTCCAATAACAGAACGTCGACCTGTCCCTTGGCTCTTATTATCCACTAATCGTTTAGCAATTATTCGTCGTTTATTAGGTGTAAGTTAATATTGGACAGTTTATATTTGCTCTGTTCTCTTTCTTTGCCTTTTGTTTCAGTTCCTACTCGAAAATTGCTTTCTCAGTATTCGCCAGTGTCTTAATGAATCAAAAGACAATGAACATAACTTTATAACCCAACGGGTTGAATCATATAAGGACTTTCGTCTAAATTAGAGCGAATAGTTTTACAGTATTTAGGCGCCGATTTGATGTAAATCACACAATAGCAATAATGTATCTGTAAAATCTCGGCGAATTAATTTGAAGTAAATTCAACGTTTCGTCTGGCAATTTCCTTGAAAAAGCTTGGACCAGATTGCCTGGCGAAACGTTGGATTTAGAGATGATTTTATGTTTTATGCATTAAATGATTGAATGATAGGGCATTTTAATTCTATCCGTACTCAAGATTATTCTTAACTTCTGAGAATTATAATCCTTTATTAATATCTTGAGTGTCCAATTATCTGGACGATTAGAATAAAATTGTTTATTTCACACCTTATGATATTATCCAGTCAGGTCGGTTGAGTAAAGATAAAACTATGAACAACATGTGTCAGGTCTAGAATTGAAATTATTCCATAAATAACGTGCACATCCAACAATAATGCCCTTCTTGAGACAGTAGTTTGTTAGAATAGGTCAGTATTGAGAAAGTGAATACTCTTCACTGTTCCATTAGACAGGTTACGTCAGGTAACTGTAAGGTGATCGATATTTGTTACTATTCCATTCGATCTTTTGTATGTGAGTAAGCATAGTTGCTGGAGGCATTGTTTATCTGTGGAACTTGCATCTTGACCACTACATCGTGGTGTATTAAGCAATACAAATTCACTTTAAAACCTAAGACTTTCTTCTTTCCTTCTACATTTATTTAAATGTTCTTTCTAATATGATAGGATCTTAGTGAACACATTTGTAGTCAAGTAAGCTCGATTGAACCTTTAAAACAGTTGAATTTCATCATTACAAATGGACTAAATGAAGGATGTAACGATACTAATTTAATAGAAAAGTACATCTCACTAAAACCCTACAGATGTATTCATCATTTGGGTAGGGGTGATGCTTCTCCCATGAGAAACTAATGATACTATCAGCGTGTGTAAACCGAAATAAGTGTGACCGCATTCGAATCAGTTACTTATACATTTTAGACATTAACACCGTTGGATGCCAGTTCAGTGGCCTATCGGTTGAGGGCTCCGTCTCAAGACTGGTAGGTCGTGGGTTCGAATCTCGCGAGTGCGTGAGCATGGATGCGTACTGCTGAGGAGTCCCATAATAGGACGAAACGACCGTCCAGTGCTTCCAGGTTTTCGATGGTGGTCTAGCTTCAATTGACCCATGATTTCAACTATGAAATTACGTATACATTTGTCAATCATATGAAAATTGACTTAAACGAGTTACTTATTGGAAGCTATACAAAATATATTATCCGTTAGTATATTAACATCTACTTCTTGTTTCTTTACAGGATAGCGAAAATTTCACATCACTCAATGCGTTACCATCAGGATATCGTGCAAATATATGTCTTACACCGTTTAATAATGCAAATATAAATAATTTAGATATTTTATATCATAGTCGAATTGCTTTAGTATGCTGTAATCCATCGATTACATCAACTTCTGAACCAGCTCAACCAATGTTCATTTATTCACATGGATCTGCATTTACGGTAGGTAAATTGAATATACCTCTCTCAACTATGAGAGTATTTGTTCAATTTTTTCCAAATCCTATTTTAAGGTTTACATTAAACGCACTTCTGTAACAATATAGCTTAAAGTCAGTAATCATACAATATCCAAGTAACAAAAGGAACGTAACTACGTTTATTTCTCGATATAAAAATAAAGTCGTCAACCTGGTCCTCTTCACATACAAGTCAGTCACAACGTAGAACTTCGTATGTACGTACGTACATCAGTTCTAGTTGCCATATCACATTAGCACTGAAATGCAGTTGTCGATTCAAATCCTATAGTAGTAGAGGTAGTAGGAGTATAATCAGAAATCCAAAAGATTAGGGTTTGAAGAAATTATTGAAGGAGTTTGATCCAGTGAAATAAATTTGGAAAGAAAAAACAGATAGAGACGTGAAGAATTCAGAAGATTAGAATTTGGTAGAACACAAACAGTGTATGCACCTTTGCCATTGCAAACGATTTTGAGCCATGTCATTCATGGTCTCTCACCATCGGTTGTTATCATCTCGCGGATACCAATCGGATAGTCTACACCTGCCAACATGGCTCAGTCCACTTGTCAGTGACTTCATGGAATTGTGCCATGTTTTGGTCTGGCCGCCTCTAGCTTTCTACCAACCTACTCCTACACCATAAAATACTACACGTTGGGGCAGTCTGTGTTTGAGTATACGTAACACGTTTCCCAGCCATCTTACCTGATGAAGTTTCACTACTACATCCTTACCTAGTACCCCTTCCCCAAGAACTGCATTACTTACTCGGTGGTCCCAGGATGTACGAGCAATGCTTCGAAGACACCTATGATCGAATACTAGTAGCCTACGAATATCTTCTACACTTATCGGCCATGTTTCACTGCCATAAAGTAGGACGGAACGAACTGCTTCGCAGTCAACGCGTCCTTTGGTTGATAGATGGATATCTCGCTTACGCCATGAATGACGCAAGTTGACGAAAGCTAGACGAGCCTTCTTTATCCGTGCCGAGATTTCGTCACACACCAGACTACAAGGGCTGATAAGACACCCAAGATAAGTGAAGCGATCAACAGGCTTAACTACTTTGAATTAACTACTTCATTTGTTAGGCGCTGATGCAACGCAAACCTGGCGTAATATTTTGCACTTCAAGGGGGAGAATCGCATCCTGATAATGCCTGCATTGTTGCTTATAGTAATCAGAAAACCGCATTTTGTCAGCGTCTTCACATACAAACACAATGCCGTCTATATTATAATACTTTATTTTGAGTAATAATAAATATATGGATTTTCAGATGATAAAATGATGAAGTAACTACAAGTACTTAATTCTGCTACTGATAATGCCTGACAACTGTCTAGTTCTACTTTAAGACTTCTCAGTTGTACATATTCATCATATTTGTTCCTATTTATTGAACATATACTTACTACTGGCTAAGTTCCAAAGTCCTGATAAGAAATGTTAGTTGAATAGGGTTGTATAACTACATGTGGGAGTAGAATAGCTCCATGATCTTAGCTAAATTTTTCATTATATTATGAATTGATTGAATTACACTGTTATATCTCACTTCCATAATCTCAAAGTATTGTCCTCATCGGAAGATCTAAGACTCTTGGATTAGACCTAATGAGAGATTATGAATTGTGCATTGCTAAGGTGTGGTCCCAAACTATTATTAGTAAATTTTCACGATCTCTTAAGTTTTTAATCTTTCCGTTAGCCGTTGAAAATTATTCGAAATAGGGTTCATAATCTTTAGAAAGACTAAAAGTACTTTGATCAGTCTGTATTGAATGGAGACATTGCACAAACTTCTAGAAAGGCAATAAATTTTGGATAATAAACTTTTGTCAGTCGTGGAAATAAGAGTTATTAGGTGTAGGAAGGTTTTGAAAGTGACCAACTTGGTCTCGTATGCTGTTACAGGTATGAGGGCTAATATCACTTCCCGGATGCCCACACCGTGGAAGGGTATTCCTTGAGGGACTTGAAAAAGAAGTTGAATTAGTGTTGGTCACAACGACCTGGGAGCGTGACCGCAGTACCCAAGGGACAAATACTTGAGGCCGGTCACGCACGGCCTTTTTGTGGGGAATTTTCGATGTGTTAGCTCTGTTCTTCAAAGGACCTTACCGCCGGAGACGGAAATCCGTGAGATAAGGCCAGGTGTGCATTTTTAGGGTCGACCATTTCTAACCCCACCCATCCTTGTGGGAAGGCAGCATCGCTGTCATGCTGGTTGTCTGAAGGAAACATTTTACTGCTTTCACACCTCTGTACAGTCGGCAGTACGACTTCGCCTTCGGACCTTGAGGTTGCTGCTTTTAGTCTCACCGCTCTTCAACCGACCTGTCTGACATTGTAGGACCTTGAGGAACGATTGTTCCAGCCAGTATAGCTCGATTGGTTCATCACGATTAATAAACTGATCAATCCACAAACTAATATGTTACGGGATTTTATTCATCAAATATTTCTGGAACTTGTGATTGTCATTTAGTCTTGAAAGCTAAATGTATTAGTGTCCGATGTATTTTTAAGTTTCAATTGACGAGTTCTCATTGTTACGCAATTATGTGAACGAAATTACAAGTCTATACATGTTTATTATTGATCAGTCCATGGTGTTATAGATTGCTGAGGTCCTGTTGATAGACAAATGTTCTGATTGCGTTTCACACTATCACTGTAACTTGATGCCGGAGACGTTCGATAATATGACTCAGAATCAGTTACAATAATGAAGATAAATTCAATCCTTGCTTCCACTTAGGTCCCTGAATTTTATGGTTATCTTATGCTTTTTTCAATCTAGGAATTTATCCTTCTGGAATCATATCGTCTATACTAAGATTTTTCCATTAATACCACTGATTGTGTGTGATACGTCTTACCGATTGAACGCTATATTCGGATCCTAAGCTAGTTTCGTAGTCCCCAAGCTAGAACTACACAGCGTCTTGAATGTGAGAGAAAAGGCGCAAAATATAAGAGAAGCACTTTACTCAAAAGGTTCATTTATGTACAGAAAATATAGGATTTTTATAGTAATTTATCAGTCCTTGGGTTTCACTGGAAATTCTAGAATACTACTAAACATAGTAGCAGTGTAATAATCAACCAATCAGAACCTCTGTGACGTTTTATTTTCACGATATTTCTAGCTAAACTTCCAATCAAACGCTGATTGGATAAAATGCTTCTTAATATTTCTTGAGCTTGTCATGTCGATTGCGAAAAATTTGCAGGATCATCTCAACAGTGTGACTATTTCTACTATGGCATTTGTCTTTATAATTTCACTTAACTGTTCTCATATAGAAAGTATGATAACGTGTACCGATGCATATACATTTTATTAGATTTTACTACGTGTTGACGTACAGCAAACATACTTATTAAATGGTAACTTCGTTTACAACATAGATGTTTATGATTCCTTTCTTCTTCTTCTTCTTTTTCTTCTTCTCCCAACATACGTTTTCTTTGTTAGAATGGAACTAGCTGAACAAATGACCAATATAATTAATTTTCCAGAAATGACTTCATCCAATGTTCGTGTACCACCATTTCTAAATTTTTCAGAACTAGTTAATTATGTAAAAAAGTAAGTTGTATAATTTTTGCCAGCTTCTTCTTATTATTTTAAAATGTATTTACATGTTTATAAAAGCCTTTGTATATTATATATGTATTACTCTATGAATGTCAAACTTTATGTATGAAAGTAGACAATATGGCTGAGATGCGAAATTCTAGTCGTAGATATATTTTCGAACCATTACTAGAGTTCTGGTCTATCGGTTAACGGCTCTCGCTCGAGACTGGAAGGTTCTGGGTTCAATTCTCGAGAGTGCGGGATCGCGGATGCGCATTGTTGAGGTGTCCTCTATTAGGTCGAAACCGCCGTCCAGTGCTTTCAGGTTTTTTCCATGGTGGTCCAGCTTCAATGGACTGATGATCTAAACTCTATAAAATTACTAAAATCTCCACCAAACCCCTTCTCATTACTAGGGTATTGTGTGTGACAATAACCAGGTGAGAAACACTAAGGTTAAACATATGGTATTCTGCAGAAATGATAAATTTATCAATGAAACTGCAAAATCTTCATCAAACATCATACTTACTGAATATGTTAATGTCTATCAGGAATAAATTAACTACTTCTATGAATCCGATGTTCATCTTGCTGTGCTAACGAGGTATGGCAACCTAGACCGATGCATAAATATGCCTGGTCCTACGTTGTAGCTGACTGACTGAGGAATAAACAGTTTTATGGAGTCAGTCAGTCAGTCAGTCAGTTACAACGTAGAACTTCGTACGTACGTACATCAGTTCGAGTCGAGTTGCCATACCACATTAGCACAGAGATGAAGTTGTCGATTCAAATCCCATATTGGTGGAAGTAGTAAGAGTATAAGTTTTATGGAGACTGCAATTGCATTTGAAACAGTGGATACTACTATCACTGACTTAAGTAGATTAAACTGATGAGTCAGAAAATATAATCTTTTGAAATTCTGAAAGCGTTCAGAAATTATGTTAATGTCAACAAACATTTACGCACTTCGGTAATCAGTTCAGAAAAAAATTAAAATGAAAAGAGTTTCGTCGTCGTTTCTTTTCTGATGAAAGATCTTCAGTGATATTTGTCGCCTAAATAGGTCTCCATTCCATTCCGTGTAGAATTTTAATTTTAAACATATGTGTACTATATATAACGTTGCTTATGACTAACCGTCCAGAGATTTGAGTATAGATAAGTTTCTTCATCATGGGTCAATACACCAACTATTATTCCGGGAGCACCGCTGAATAAAAATTCCCATCCTAGGTGACTTTATCCAAACGAACATACAAACCTGATCAAATTAAATACTTATTTTTTCAGAGAGGTGTTACCTTGGAGGTGTCCCCTATTCTCAGTCACTCTTTCCTTCACTTCATCCGGTAGTAGTTATCTCACAGCCTCATAAGGAATGATCTGTCACGTTTTCTCATATATATAGCATATAAATGTTTGTGACAAGTATTTTATTTATGTACTTAAGCACATAAATATTGGTACAAGGCAGCACCAGATATATTTGCGCTACGCAAAAATTTTCATTTCATGTGATTGTGTGAGTTCTATGATACTGCCGAGGTGCCCAAACGGAAACAGGTGGTTTTCATAGGGTGTCACACCCGGAGCCTTTGACCTAAATGTTTAATCCACAAGACAGTTTAGCATCGTGAGGAGATGCAGTCTCAAGTAAATTAGAAATCATGAGACACTCAGTTAAAATGCATTACGTGTATAGTACCATCAATGTTGATGTGATGTAAAGAAGACAGTCGAAATAATCTACAACATTCCATTCGTAATGTGTTTACATACTCAATGAAATTTGTTAAAAGGATAGAGATATAATCATGATTAGAATGTTTTATTGCAGATCAAGAACACTCATACATACTTCTAATGTTCCATAAAGCTATGTAACTATTCTAGTTCATCCTTATTCAAGTCAATTATCGTGATATCTATTTTTAAAATGGATTCATATATCTGTGCATTGTGGTTGGTCCTACGTTGTAGCTGACTGACTGACTGTAACTAGTTTCAAGACTATTCTTGTCTTCTTTATTCAACATCATCTCACTTAAGCATTTTATCATTCGGGAATTACAAAATTAAGTTACCTAAGTAATGCCCCCAAATGCCCTGATGCGATCGAGAATGGGGAGGACCCGCCCTCTCTCTCGAAACTCTCTCACACGGCCACACATAAACAGCCTCTGCCAGAGAGGTCATACTAACTGCCTTCTCGTCGCACCGGTGTTCTTTACGAAATTGAGAGGACGGGAAACGAATGTCCGGCGCCTTAACCGGGTTAGTGGACACAGAACGTTTACCTACGGGAGTTGGAAAACCCTCGTTCCAAACCAATGGTGCACATGGGCTCCAGTATCCTGACGTAACAAATGGCGTATGAAATAATCATTGGTCACCGGCTACCATGGGACTGCATCTCCTCATGATGCTCTACTGCCTTGTGGATCAAACCTCTAGGTCGAAGGCTCTGAGTGTGGTCCCCTGAGAAAACCATCTGCTTCGGTTTTGGCAACCGAGCAGTATCACAGCCCTCACACAAATCAAATGAACTTTGTGCGGCGCATCTATATTTGGTGCTCTTTTAAACCAATGTTTATGTGTTTAAATAAATAAATTTCATTTTGATACGGCATAGGCAGATATACATTATCAACATAGAGCCTAACATAGATGTGCGTTGACCCAATTCGCCATACTGGATTATCACGGTGACATCTAAATAACAAAATAATTTAAAATAATGTAGTGAGTATGATAAATAAAAAGACTTCCAGAGTTTCCCAATGTATCATTTTAATGTGTCAGTAGTTTCTTAATTGAGTTCAACCGTTGACGAATGACCCCACCCTCTTACAAATAAATTATTTCTTGAAAACTCCTCTATTCTAATGCCGAGCATACAGTCTAGTGATATCCTGGATTTCAAAACTCATTGATAATTCTGATCATAAATTTGTATTCTATAGTCACTCCCCCCCCAATTTTCGTCAGTTTTATAACTTATTAAGAGGAATTATGGTGATGCATTTTCTAAGTATATGTGTTTTATTAGCACCATGTTATATCCGCTGGTGAATTATGAATGGTAACTCCAAGGACTATTTATCGACCAATGTATTATGCGTATTTCCTATTATACAATTGTTACGTAACTAAACGATTCATATTTGTGTTTCTCTTATCATGAGCTTTATTTTGATCTTTGATTTATTATCATACGATTCTTGAGTTATACTCAGTTATTGATTACTTTGGTTTGTATAAAAACCCATTATGTTTGTAAATAATGATTCATATATTGCTGAGGCTGTTATTTGTGTTCTGGACTCAACTGGCTGGGCTAGGCAGATCGCAGGACCGGTTAGCACTCTAGGCTGCTCGTACGGGTTTCGTGTCGCTGTTCCAATCGACAATTCGCCGATCCCTGTTAGACGGTCTTATCGCGTCACACATCAACTACCCATCCACTCGGCCACAGATATAACAATTGGCGACGGGGACAAAAAAGGTCAGTTTGTAATTGTTCGAAAATCAGGCAATCATTTGGTGCAATCAGCATCCAACATTCTCTTTGGTGTCCGTCATTATTCATACAGTGAAAAATGACGCTCCCTTCTGACCGATTACAGTTGCTATTTGACCGACATTTGGAGTTCATGGTCAAACTACGCACACAGCTTCTGAATCACCAATTCTTTGCATATGCGTCGGAAGTGAATGGATTAATCACAGAATTTCACGCAAAGCTGGAAAATGATCGCAGCCTCCATGAATCCTCGACCAGCCGCAACTCAAACGAAACAGCAGTCTCGCAGGAGACGCCCGGTTGTCCATCACTACCCATTTCAGAAACGTGCCCGGTAGTGGATTCAAACCCCACTATCCCTGAATTAGCAGGTCCGAACAGTGACGCTTCCAGCTCTCATCAACATGATGCCATGTCAAATGCCCATGAAATGGTCGTACTAACCGCCCAAAAAGTACCAGATATAATATCGAGCAGTACACGGAGCGAATCGCATTCTGCAATAGAAATTTTTACCGAATCTAATGATAAAGATTCCCAAGCTTGTCCAGAAAATTTGTTACATGCGTCAAATCTGGAACCTAGCGCAGTATTGGTGGACGCTGTTTATCATAGTGATCCACAACCTGCCAGTGATGTTTGCAATAAGTCTAATGACTACATTTCTGCAGAATCAAATTCTGACCTCACATCAAATGTCGATCCTCACCATCCAGTCAATCTTAGCAGGTTCCCTATTCAATGCCAGAAAGATGTTATAAATAGAATCGCATTAATAGAAACTTGGGTATATGAGGATCCAACACTATTTCGTGGGGGAGGAGGAGCTCGGATTTCTCAAAAAGGGGAGGTGTTATATCCCCTGGTGAATTATGAATGGTAACTCCAAGGACTATTTATCGACCAATGTATTATGCGTATTTCCTATTATACAATTGTTACGTAACTAAACGATTCATATTTGTGTTTCTCTTATCATGAGCTTTATTTTGATCTTTGATTTATTATCATACGATTCTTGAGTTATACTCAGTTATTGATTACTTTGGTTTGTATAAAAACCCATTATGTTTGTAAATAATGATTCATATATTGCTGAGGCTGTTATTTGTGTTCTGGACTCAACTGGCTGGGCTAGGCAGATCGCAGGACCGGTTAGCACTCTAGGCTGCTCGTACGGGTTTCGTGTCGCTGTTCCAATCGACAATTCGCCGATCCCTGTTAGACGGTCTTATCGCGTCACACATCAACTACCCATCCACTCGGCCACAGATATAACAATTGGCGACGGGGACAAAAAAGGTCAGTTTGTAATTGTTCGAAAATCAGGCAATCATTTGGTGCAATCAGCATCCAACATTCTCTTTGGTGTCCGTCATTATTCATACAGTGAAAAATGACGCTCCCTTCTGACCGATTACAGTTGCTATTTGACCGACATTTGGAGTTCATGGTCAAACTACGCACACAGCTTCTGGATCACCAATTCTTTGCATATGCGTCGGAAGTGAATGGATTAATCACAGAATTTCACGCAAAGCTGGAAAATGATCGCAGCCTCCATGAATCCTCGACCAGCCGCAACTCAAACGAAACAGCAGTCTCGCAGGAGACGCCCGGTTGTCCATCACTACCCATTTCAGAAACGTGCCCGGTAGTGGATTCAAACCCCACTATCCCTGAATTAGCAGGTCCGAACAGTGACGCTTCCAGCTCTCATCAACATGATGCCATGTCAAATGCCCATGAAATGGTCGTACTAACCGCCCAAAAAGTACCAGATATAATATCGAGCAGTACACGGAGCGAATCGCATTCTGCAATAGAAATTTTTACCGAATCTAATGATAAAGATTCCCAAGCTTGTCCAGAAAATTTGTTACATGCGTCAAATCTGGAACCTAGCGCAGTATTGGTGGACGCTGTTTATCATAGTGATCCACAACCTGCCAGTGATGTTTGCAATAAGTCTAATGACTACATTTCTGCAGAATCAAATTCTGACCTCACATCAAATGTCGATCCTCACCATCCAGTCAATCTTAGCAGGTTCCCTATTCAATGCCAGAAAGATGTTATAAATAGAATCGCATTAATAGAAACTTGGGTATATGAGGATCCAACACTATTTCGTGGGGGAGGAGGAGCTCGGATTTCTCAAAAAGGGGAGGTGTTATATCCCCTGGTGAATTATGAATGGTAACTCCAAGGACTATTTATCGACCAATGTATTATGCGTATTTCCTATTATACAATTGTTACGTAACTAAACGATTCATATTTGTGTTTCTCTTATCATGAGCTTTATTTTGATCTTTGATTTATTATCATACGATTCTTGAGTTATACTCAGTTATTGATTACTTTGGTTTGTATAAAAACCCATTATGTTTGTAAATAATGATTCATATATTGCTGAGGCTGTTATTTGTGTTCTGGACTCAACTGGCTGGGCTAGGCAGATCGCAGGACCGGTTAGCACTCTAGGCTGCTCGTACGGGTTTCGTGTCGCTGTTCCAATCGACAATTCGCCGATCCCTGTTAGACGGTCTTATCGCGTCACACATCAACTACCCATCCACTCGGCCACAGATATAACACACCATGTATATGTATATATACGTATGTCCAATAGTTTTTTTTATTTGTTCCCAATTATAGACTACCTCTTCTACCATGTAAAGATTCGCCAACACTTGTACCAATGCATTGTTTACCCGACAGTTTTACATTCCAACCACATTCGTTGCTACTAGTACAACATATGAAGGGAAGTAGGATATAAACAATTGGTTTGGGTGATGTTTACTGCACTGATCTACTCCAAACTCATTCGCTTACCATGTTTCCGTTGTCTCTCTGTTGTTTATTTTCTTGAATTATGTTTTTTGTTTTGTCATGCCATGTTTTTACAGTTACTTGTCAATCTTTTGGCTATCGTTTTCATTGTAAAGCTGATTCTCATCAAAAACTTGATATTAGGTTGAAAGAAATTCGCTGTAAACTGAAAAATGTTCTAGATAGGTAGATCGTGTAGATTAACTACTTATTCACAGTACTAAATCATGATCACATATGATCAGTGTGTAATATGCAACTTTGTATATGTGTTTTTCAATCTGTAAATTGTCACAATACAACACCACAGTGAGATGAATACCTAAGTAATCTTGGTAGTAGCTGTGTTAGCTAAAATTTTCTATGGATAAAGAATATGATTTGTGAAGAACAAGTGAATCCACGAAATAAAAGTGATAAAAGGATCTTGAAAATCATGATTCAAAGTAAAATGAATAGTGAAAACATCTGGACCATTGCAATTGATTCTGAGCTCTCACCCAACATCTCTTACCATCGGTCGCGATAATCGTCTAAATCCCAAATAGGTTATCTGGTTAATTTTTCTCTCTTCTATTTTCTTCAAGCTTCTGCACAGTGAACAATCGGGAAGTGACAACGGCCCTCATGCCTTTATCAGCCCCCAAGATCGTCTTGTTGACGATCGAAACCCTGCATCATGTCTTAATAATTATTCCGCCCCCACGACTTACTCTTCTCATTTATCTTTATCATCAAACGCTACCAATGCTGTGTTGTATTCACGAAATGTTATATTCGGTCTCCTGAAACTATGCTCCAAACTACATGTTGGAGCTTTCAGTGTTCGAATCTGGTGTCAGAAATAAAAATAGGCTTCTTTATCTAGTATTCTAGTATCCCGCGCCATCAATGTTTGCTGCCTCTCCGAATCGCGCATACATGACCGAAGTACAATCATTCATTTGAATCCGTTTTTTTCAATATGAAGAACTGATATTGATTACACTTCTAGTGATCTTGTTGGTGTCGGTAGGCACCAAGTTCTAAATCAGTACAGGCTCTGTTAAAGTGGACTCCAATAAACAGTCGCCTGTACGCTGCTCGACGAAACGTGACAGTAGGAGCTGGAAAAGATAGGTACGTACGTCGTTGCCTTTTCGTTGTGTCTAATTACGCTTCCACTGATTGCGACTCTGATGAACTTTATAGGAAGCTATCCATCATTCTTCAGAAAGCTAAACGCTCTGACTTAATAATAGTGGCAGAATCTCACAGTATTGAAGATTAAAGAACAGATAAGGGCGAGTATTTGTTGTCATTATGCTCAGACCAATGTCTATGTCTGTCAAACAGGAACTTTGAGCATAAGGCAAAATGTCGTCTGACATGTCGAACTCCACAACAGACTTAACGAAGGACTCAAATAGATCACATTGTCATCAGCTATTGTTCGAGGCGTTCGATTGAAAACTGTCGCTCGTTCTGAAGCACATGTTTACACTCGGACCATATTCTATTTCGAGCTGGACTATTATTCACTTTCAAATCAGGAAAATGAGTGCATCGGCGGAACATTGTATGGAACGAATAATATTTGTAATATCCTAATGAATTGAAAAATTAGATTTCCTGGGATATTACAAATATATTTTTTCTCATTTATTACAATCTACTCAATGCTCAATTTTTTTTGAAATTATCAAGTCCAAGCTTGGTAATGATACATAGTTTAACGTACAGTTCAATTGGCCTTCGAACACACTTCAGTTACCTATTATTTTCAAGAAACCTGAGCTTCCAAATCCCCTACAACTTTATTGTGTTATTATTTCACTCGTTTATATTTTATTTTCGAGTAGTATCTTCAATTCGTAATATTTCCTATTAGCAGCGATACTGTTGCTACCTCTAGTATCGTGAGACTTGGCCTAACAACTTCATTTCTTTATGCTGATAGAGTATGAAAACTTGACCCGTTGTGACTGACTGACTGATAGGAAAGATAGTCCATTGTTTTTCCACACTCGAGTTGTTTTCTTAAGATACCGATGAATAGTTGTGGATAAATACTACCTTTTATGTTACACATTCGCTCTCAAAAGACTACACGAATGTATAGAATTAAAATGTAAACTACAATTTTTTCCGTCCCAAAGTATTTATAAAGGATTATGCCTCATCTTGAACCGGTTTCATTATATGTTTTACATCAGGTGACTTTTTACATGATCTAAATAGCATCATCATGTTTTGCTTAATTATTGTTCACTTATAAATGAAACTTGACATTTCTATTTGTTTTTGTTTGCTTACAGATAATTGGACTGAAGAGATTAGTCGGAGTACTGGAAAATTGTATTACTTCAACCGATTGAAATCTGAATCTACTTTCGATTCACCAGAAAGTGAACACTTATCATTCACGTGAGTACACTGTTGTGATTACTTAGCTCAGTAATATAACTCAGAGCAATTACAAAGTACCAATTGGTACAGTCTGGGTCTTTCAAGTACTCTATTTTCATTGTCTAAGGGAAGATGGGTTTGAACTGTCGATCGAGTGGTTGAAAGTTTCTTGCCTTAATGACCTCAATTGCCTTATTTAAGTGCTACTTCGATAGTGGTTACAGCTTCAGTTTTTCGACAATTATGTAGCATATGTTTGATTAGCTAGGTATTTATCGTTGCTGTTCACACTCGAAGTGTGACGTAAAGACAAAAAATATAAATAGGTTTATTGGTTTTGAAGGATTCCAGCTCCGAAATATTTTACTACATAAGTGCCTTTAGACTATGTTCTCTAAAGCTCTGATTCGATTGATGGTGGAAACAGTCTCCACTCCTCCAATCAAATGGTTCGTATCCAGCTGCTCGTTAATAGCATCCTCGAGGGATGTCTTACTAACAACGAGAAGCGTACTACGCTTACTACTACTACTACTGTGGTGTGGTCTACTTATATCCATATAAGTAGTATATGATGTTGGTCCGACATAGAATGTATTTTGTCAGAAGACCGATGAGCAAAGAACTGAAACGAAACGCAATCGGCAGGAAATTGCATGAACAATAGAATTAAAGAAGAAACGCTGAAGATTGAGACAATTGATTGTTAATTTGCAAATTGACTGTTCATTGTATGGCTGTCAGAATTTACTGAGATAGTCTGTAATATTTGCTTAAATACATTCCGTTGTTCCCAACCAGTGTTCTGTTCACTACACTACTACTACTACTACGTACTACGTCTTACTATTTTGCAAAGATAAGATGAAACCTAAGATAAGAATGAATACTGTCTCCCACTCTTGCAGCCTCATTTGGCTTGATTCTGTACAAATATTATTTTCTTTTTTATGGTATGGTGTAGTCTGCTTGTTTGGTATATAGACAAAGTATGTTTGAAATAAACGATTTGCATTACAGCAGCTGATATTATAATTTTATAATATAATACTAATTTTAGGCGGATAAGGACCAATAAGAACGATAGAATACTCATACTAATCGAACGTCATTATCACAGTGTGAAGGTTGTAGAAGTCGTATTCTATTGATGGATAGCTTACGCGAATTACGTCCTTGTTAAATTCGTAAGGTCATAACAAATCAGCGATGACCTTGAATAAGTCCTAACAATTAGCTACGGCCTTGATCATGACATAAGGATTGGCGACAGACTAGGTCAAAAACATAACAGTTTCTTGGCTTTGAAGGATTCCAGCTCCGATATATTTTACTACACAAGTGCCTTTAGACCATGTTCTCCACAACTCTGATTCGATTGATTGTGAAAAGAGTCTCCAATCTTCCAATCAAATGGTTCGTATCTAGCTGCTGGTTTATAGCATCCTCAAGATATGTCTTACTGCTTTGCAAAGATAAGATGAAACCAGAGGTTTCACACTTTAATTGGGTTGGTGGCTGGGGAGATTTCACCTATAAGATTTGTAGGAAACCAACAGATTTCTCCTTCCTCCTCTTCCTCATCAGTTTATGGTTACCTCTAGATTATATGACTTAATGCTCAAACTATAATGGAATATTTAATATCAATTTTCTTGAAGCTTCTGATCTCTAGAAAAACACTAAGCCTACCAGTACAGCTTCTTTTACCTTCCGAATTCATTCACTGTTTCAGATTTCAAATATGACAGAGGTAGGTGTTTAGAAGAGATCTTAATAAACTGAGAGCGTCGGTCACACACGACGTTTTTGTGGGTAGTTTTTGTGTTAGTGCCGTTCTTTAAAGAACCTTACAGTCGGAGACGGATAACGGCGGGATAAAGTATCGCTGTTATGCTGGTTGTCTGAAGGAAACACCTCTGTACAGTCAGTAGTACGACTTCGCGTTCGTACCTTGTGATTGCTGCTTTTAATGTTACCGCTCTCCAACCTACCTGTCTGGCATGGTAGGACCTTGAGGAACGATTGTTCCATCCAGTATATCTCGATTGATTCATCACGATAGGCAAGCTCGACCACCACGTTGAGGTAGCAGCAACGGCCGGAAGATTTAAGCTAGAGTCAATTGTATAACAAACACACAATAATCATTTTAGATGGTGTAATATTTCTCTACTAATCATTCTTGTATTAATCTATCACAAATTATTATTATCATCATTTATGATATCTTCCTTATTTTTTTCTTCTTTATTCTTCTTTTATGTGATTTCAGTGAGACACATTTCACAAAACTACCTTGGATAACAGAACAAAAATATTGTTCAAGTGTTACCACTTTAATACAATATTTGGAGAAAATGTCAGATCCTTATTCATAGTTGTGAGATGATGTTGTATAACTATCGATGGGTTTCCAATTTTTCATTTTCACACACACACGCATTCACAAACACTTTTGTATGTTTCATTTTTTTCTTGTTTAACTCACGGTATAAAATTTTTTTTTCTTGTGATTCGCAAAGTTTGTTTTACCGTAAAATATTTTCACTGATTTATGAGTGGAGTGTAAGGGAGGATGAGGGTTTTCTTCTTTTAATCACGAAGTTGGCCATAGGATTATTTTGTAGTAAAGTGGTTGAAGTTCTAAAACTATTTATCAACAATTTTTTGTAATAAGATAGATCCTATTTTTTACTGTGTTTTTTTTCGGGCTTGTACAAAATTTAATATTTCTTACTTTAAGTTTGATTGGCTTCCTCAAGATTTGTCAGTGTCATACAGTCTTTCTAAAGTTGACCATAATATCTTTGGTAAAATATAATGAATTCATTTAGCATTTAGTTATTTCTCTTCTCACAGGCAAATCTAATAAGTATAGCGCCAAATGCCCTAGTACGGCCGAGAGTGAGGAGAATCCGCTTTCCTAATCGAGATGCTATAAAATGTCCTCGCATATATAGCCTGTGCCAGGGAATTCCTACTCACCGCCTTCTCGTGTCACCGGTGTTGTTTACGAATAGCGAATGTCCGGCGCTTTAACAGGGTTGGTGGCACGTAAAGCCCATCTACGGGAGTTGGAAAACTCTGATTCCAAACCAACGGTACACATGGGCTCCAGTACCCTGAAGGAACGAATGGTGTATGAATCAATCGTTGGTAACCGTCTTCCATGGAAATGCATCTCCTCACGATGCTCTACTACTGCCTTATGGGTCAGACCTTTAGGCCGAAGGTTATGGGTGTGGCCTCCTGAGGAAACCACCTGCTTCGGTTTGGACACCCGGTCAGTATCACAGTCGTCACACAAATCAAATAAGTTTTGTGTGGCGCATATATATCTGCTTCCTCTTTGTACCAATATTTATGTGTTCATTATAAATGATTAGCAAAATTGTTGTCTTGAGGTTATTCAACACGTTGTTAATGTTTAGCAAGAAAATATGTTTTATACAACACTTTCAACCTCTCTGTCTTCTTATTAGACCAATTCTTGATATTGGAGTGTAATTTCTTTAAATGATTTCACTTCAGTTGTTTAGAGTTATCCATGAATATTGATCATGAACATTTTAGTGTAGCGCAGCCAACTTATGAGATGAAAAAACACGAAGAAAGAATTTCTCTACTGAAAATCATTATTCTGTCATGTAATCAAGACTCAGCCACTGAATGAATGCAAAGATAATGAAAGTGATCCGTTGTTTCATTTAGAAAGAGTGAAGATAATTCAGTGTGGAAAACTTTCTTATCGACGATTTAATTTACGAAGGTGTATCATTAAATTCGTCGTTAATTTCACTTGCTAAAATAGAAAAGAAAAGGAATCCTAATGAATAATTATCAATAATTGAATTAATAACTTGTCATGAATTATTTACGAAAACCAGATATTGAAAAGAAGTTATTACATAATCGGTTGGTTAAAACTACAATGTTGAAGACAATCCGTCTACTTGAAAGCTATTAAGAACAGAATAATTGAAAGATTTAATGATGGCCAATGAATAGTTGCGAAAATAATTCTCCACTGAAAAATCACAGATCACAGAAGATGAAAAGGAAGTTTACAGACATGGAACAATGATGGACTGAATAGGTTGCTTTCGTACTCAAAGATTAGTCTTGAACTACTGGATAATACTAGTCTCTACTGTACGTTAGTACTTTATTTGCATTCCTTTTGAGTCAACTTTTCTGACTGTAATTTTAAGAGATGCTCCGAATATAGAAGAGTGACCAGAACTTAGTAGGTGCTGAAAGTTTTAGCTTTTGACTGAATTCCGCAATCGTTTATAAATCTATATTTAGACATGCTTTCCGAAAGGGCTCGTCCTGTGCGCTTAATATAACCTGATCCACATGAACAAGGAGACTGATGGGTGCAGGTTAGACCGGAAGCCGGCGCTCAACCTCCACACAATGCAAATAATGGGCCGACTGGTAAACGTCACACAAAGTTCAATCGAACAGAACATTTTTCTCAGAGATCTCAAAAGTCTTTCCGATTCTCTACCGTAGTATCTCCTTTAAATTGAGTTTTCATAAGGAGAGAGTCTTCTCTAGTGCTATTGACACTGTTTCACATTGTTGTTTTAGCTTCAGATTAATTTTTCAATAAATATTTATCTGGATTGTTATGTCCTCTACTTGATTGCGGTAGAATTCGATGTACAACTAACGGCACTTGAACGTTCAGAATTCGACAGCCGTAAAATCAGAAGATGGAAGAAACAGAGGAAACGATTATTCGGTAAGAATCAAACTTTATTTTATTTAAACACAAATATTGGTACAAGGAAGCACCAGATACATATGCACCGCACAAATCTCATTCGATTTGCGTGAGGGCTGTAATACTACCCAGGTGCTCAAACTAAAGCAGGAAGAATCAAAAACTTCAAGAAAAAACATGGATACTTATACGATCACCAAATCGGATCATATAATATACACATACAATATCCAACCGACAATAGTAAGTTAATGATAAATTATATAATACAATACAAACAACCTGTAGAACTCATCAGTAGAAAGGGATTCACACTATTATTAGTTATTCAACGATTGACAAGCCTGAGTACCTATTTTACTTTGTTCATAAGTTGATCAGAGACTACTGTCCCATGACATTAGTTTTCCTTTTTTGTTGTTTTCGCCAAGTTGGCCAATGTCTTCAATTTGTTATCACTTTCATAAGTTCTCATAACAATCAACAGATGCATATACTTTCAATCGACTGTTTTTTAGGATGGGTATTCACTAGGTAGTTTAGAATATGTAATGGTTAACCCAATTATCCAATAAGAGGTTCATCAAAAGTTTCACTAACTAGATCCACCCGCCTAAGCTATTTCATTATTCTCTTTCGATGCTACGAATTGTCAACTATATCTATATCGCTAGTAGAAATTCTCAAATATCAGACAAAATAAGGTTATATTTTAGAATAACTAACTACAGTATAAGTTTGTCTGACCAGTCATTCTCAAAGTGATGAGATAGTAACACAATAATTCTAACTCAAAATATCCAGGCTGATACATTTAAGCCGTATAACATATAGTTGAAAATGAAATGGAGCAACTGAGATGGCACCGAATAATATATTCAGTTCATTTACTTCGTTTTTTTACGTCCATATCATTCAGTCACAAAGGGTACCCAAACCGAGACATGGTATCAGTTCATAAAATCACTGACTCCTTTATACACCGTTGGTGCCTTATCTAGTAACGGTTATCAAAGCGAACAATATACGAAGTTTAAGGATAATATCGAATACGGAAATAAAGGGTTTGCTTTTTAAAATAATATGCACAATGATGATATCCATTATTGCCGAGAAATGGAGGCAGACATGAGAAGAATGAACCAAAGTTGAATACAACTAGAAAAGAAGGCTCAAGACAGAGTGGTTTGCAGAATGCTGGTCAGCGGCCTATGCTCCATTGGGTGTAACAGGCGCAAGTAAGAGTTCATTATGAAATTTTCAAAATTGAACCGGTTTAGAAATCTTCAATCTCTTGTTAAGCCTATTCCCCAATGTTGCTTTAATTAAAAAATGTTTCTATGAAAATATTTACATTTCGAAAATTCAATTTTTTTACACAGGAATAAGAATCAGAAGGGTTTTTGTGAAGATTTAGTATTTCCATAGTTGAAAGCATGAGCCCACGATAGAAGAAACGGCCGTTCTATGCTACCGGGTTTTCCTTTGTTGTCTAGCTTCAATTGACTTATGCATTCAACTATCAAAAAGAAGAATGCATTTGTAAAACCTCATTGTCCTATATCAAGTGGGCACGTCCTACCGCTCCTCCCAATCGGCAGGACCTGCTACAGCCAACGCCGTTGCTCCAGAACACTCCACTCGAGGTCGCTTCTTCGTACCACACTGACCTGACTAACACCTCAATTCGAGAGCCCCAGCGGCGTCCATAAAACAACACTCTTCCCCTCCTGGTTGGCAGTGACACCAAATGTAGTGAGCAAGAACACAGGTGGGGACAATCGAATGTATTGTAGCATAACATTACAGAATACCTCATTAAAATATGAGAACCGTATAGTGAACAGTTAATTTGCAAAATAACATTCAATTGTCTCAATCCGACTGATTCTTCTGCAAATATTCATCCATAGCCTCCGATTATAATTGTTCATTCATTTTCGTGCCAATTACGTGCCTTAATAGTTTTCTCCTTATCGATCTAGTAAAATACATTCAATGTCCGACCATCACCATATACTACTTATGTGGACATCAGTAACCCACACCACACTATTAAATCGAACACCAATTAAAAAAGATTCCCTTTATTTAGCACCGAAATAACAAGATATTGGTAGACCATTGAATTCATTTAACAGAAATCCAGTTAAAACCGTGACTTCATCGAACATTTTCGAAAGACTATGTGTACTAATAAAATTGGATAATGATGAATTTGATGTAGTTCCAGAGATGTTGACAAATGTTCATCGGATGATACTGGTGCAAATAAAATGACAGTTATTGATATGCACAACTCCGCCTGTAGCTCTTCTAGAGTTACTGCCGGTCCCAAGCCCGGGTAAAGGAGGGTTGGGCATGGGGTTAGCGACCCCATCCATAGAAAACCAACTCGGCTAAAAAAACGCTAACCAGAAAAATAATTCGAACCATTTAAACTGCCCTGGGAGTTGAAGGAATAATCATGACGCCTTATGATGAAAGCCGAAATTTTTCGGAAGTCACGAGGCCGATTCACCTTCTAACAACCAGAGCAACACTCTTTATAGGTATATGGAACGTCCGGACAATGTAAGAGACAAGAAAGACCAGCCAAATAGCAATGGAAATGAGGAGATACAACTTGGCAGTACTCGGAATCAG